CTTCAATATCCAAAAGGATAAGCATCCATCGAAACTCACTGATTTATTGGCCAAAACCGGCCACTGAAGCAAAAATTCATGACGAGGCAAATACCTGAGATGCGTGGAGGTCCTGGCCATTGTTGACCATCGATACTGTCCCAATTTTAGTATGTTTCAAAGGAGGGATAGTTTCCTTCTCGAAAAAACAAGCTTGATCTCCGTAAAGTATCCTAATTAGAAAATAAATAAATTGAAATAAAAGCAATTAGCAGATTTCACCTAAATATGGAATCACCGCCGCGCCCTGTTTCTGTAGGATCACCGGTTTGGGCAATGAAGTTTTGCTAAAATAAGATTGAACATAAAAATATCAAACTAATAACAATGGAATTTGAAAACAAGCGCAAAAAATTATAACTGAGCTATCTTCAATCGTGCAGTGACTAATTCATCATTTTCTGATTTATGATCTAATCAGTTATCAAAGTGAGGATAATTAGATGCAGGGTTAGATGAATGCATATAAAGTGTTAAAGTAACATTTAAAAGTATCATTTGAATTCATCATACATATGCTAGGCACTTGATGCTTGAGCCAGAAACTGAGTAAACAGTGACAAGCTCCAGCAGCATGAACTTCACCTCGAGAAAGGTTTCTCAGTTACATCCACTACAACTACTGACACCGACAGTGCGTACTCGAGCGAGAGGCATGTCACTCATAACCAGGAAATGAGATAAGAATCGCTTTGCTATCACTTCAGCGATGATCAAATTAAAAGTCTGTGAAAATGAGGTAACCAAATAGCTTAATCAAAATGCCCTCAAGTAAAATTTTGGAAAACAACAGTGACATTCTGCAGAAGTCTGGTTTGCTACCTGCTAATACTCCAATGAGTACTGCATGCGAGTTTGGGTTCTGTCAGTCCAAATCAAACCGACTGATATGGAGCTAAATTCTGCCATGTCTATGCTATTGGGCCCATTGCGGTCAACAGCACTTGCTTGGCAACTCAGGTTCTAACCAACCCTGCTTCTCCTCACTTTAGTCCGGAGGAAGCAGGTATGATCTGACGGCGAATTTTCAGCGGGAATTCGAACTGGAGGCAAGAGCCAAAATTTTTATTCGACCAATGCCTTGAACTAGCTGTCGATGAGGATGTATCGGTAGCCACCATGTGGTGGTGGCTGTTATCGCGGTTACAAACAGTATTTTCCTTGAAAACCTCGTAACCCTCAGTCTGATTGTAATCTACGTACAGAAACTGAATGCTACTGTATTGTGTGCATTCTTCAAAATCAGACCGCCCTAATAACTGCCCTCATGGCATCAGAGACACCTCAGCCAGTAGATGTGGTCAACCGTGTCGATGTCTCCCACAGTAAACGAAAGCGGAGTTCTTGGACAAAAGAAAGCTTGATAGCGCTGTGATCAGCTTCGCGAAAACTGTAAATTGCTGCCTGTATATTCGATGAATAAAAATTTCATTTATTTACTTTGGGTTACAGAAATCGATTCATGTAACTGCAAAAATGCATAACATAACGTAGAAAGAAAGCTTCGGACTATTTCGAATTTTGGATAATGCTTACCTCGATGGAATGAAACAACGAAAAGTTGTAAAATTTCAATTTGCATAATTTCAAGAAATTTAGGCAGCCTGAAAATGGGAATAATCTTTAACGTCCAAAGAATATTCTTCATTTGACTTACTTCGAGGGCGTTCTTTGACGTGCAGATCGACTACCATATCCCCAACCGTCGTTTCAAATAAGACGGACATGGTTTCTAAAGAGTAAAAAAACTCTGGCTGAAAACTTACCTCAAATAATTCAGTTCATTCAAAATCCCAATTTAAAGAAACCTGAACACTGACATTTTGATACACATGATGGGCAGGAATACATTTTACTTATTATAAACATGCCAAAGCATTACGGAAAAACGATTAATTCGAATTCAGCTACCCAAAAGGAAAAATTTTCGGATTACCTAAGACGGTTAATTCGAACTTTACAAAACAGTCCAGTCGAAATGCCTATTTAATAACATCTAAACATGAAATAGGCATATTACTTTAAAATTTGATAATGACTGATGAATGAAAGTTTACTAATTGAATGGAATCGCAAAACAATATTGAAAAAACATTCAGATCGATTTAAAGCAAAACAGAATTGCATTTGCGGGGTTACAACCAACAACAAAAAAACCCGTTAACAAATTAACCACCGATGACACCAGTGCAAAACAACAAAGCGAAGTTAACTGAGACAAACTGGAAGAACACTACCTCACAACTAGCAAATTCTAGCGATCTCGTTACGCATCAGTGGATTTAGCAGAAAGCACACTGAGGCTGATATATATCTTCGATACAGCTCCACTATGGTAAAAACAGTGGCACTCCAGTATCTAGTTGATGATAGTCCATCTTATCGTAGCAGATTTAATACCATTTCTCGACTACAAGGTCGTGGGAAGATAAACGATAGACCGCGATTTTCTCCATTTTTTGCCTCAGGCTGTTCAAAATGCACTTCGATCTCTCGTTCAACAAAATCCCAATATACATGCATCTATGTGAAGACTGAAGCATACAGAATATCTGTGATCCCCAGATGGCTCGAACTCTACAGAACGCGGAACGGAAATGGCGGAATCTGCAGGAATTCATTCAGCATTCATTTTCTAGCCATTAATCCGTTTCCTTTTTATAGCTTGTTACGCTTTAAGCATTCGGCACAATACTCCTGGTTATCGCGTGCCAAAGTTCAAACACTGGCATAGGATCAAAAAGTTGGAGATAGTGTCTGAAACTTCAGCCTCTGCGACCCGAAAAGATAAACAGTCGTCGAAATTGACTGACTGACCGACTACTTTTGCACTGTTTCAACTGTTGACGAATAATCAACGTGATTTGTTAACTGATGCTCTTCCAATACAACAACTGTCATATCATGAGTCCCTAAAACATCGCTAACGATTTTTTACTTCTAAAATTTGCCACAACGTGCAAATGCGCAAATCAATCATCCCATATGTAGAGAAGTCTAGAAAGTAATAGATTATGGCGTTAGATGTTATGAACGTCATTTTCATCATCATTAATCATTACCACCAGACATCATTAATCTGGGTATACTATTCTTGACCTTGATACCCGAAATGACGACAACAACATTTTTTCAGAAATGGTAATTTTAACTGTTAGGAAGCGAATGTAAAATAACATATAACTCCTTCAAGATTAAATTTCACGGCGTAGTTTACCATCTTTTGCTGCTAGCTGTCTACGGGACCAATGGAGTTGCGCTCTCCGAGATACTGCGGCGTAGGAACATATTTCCATGTTAAAACATAATGGACGGATATCATGAACGCAGAACAAGATTTCCCTTCAAAGGTTTTCGAAATAACCAGCTACTTCTGCATGAAATTGTTTCTTTTCTGTCTCAGATTTAGAAAGAAATTCGAATTATGAACTCCGCCGTTTCCGGTCTCAAGCCAAATTAAGAAAGGACGAGGGTTGGAGACCGTGGCGAAGCCTCCGTAAAAGTTCGCCACTAGACACTCATGGCATTGATGGCATCGAAAACTGTACCAGCTCGGTCGTCGACCGGGTTACCAGGGGCCGCGTAGGCTGTTGGCGGACCGAGGCAGACTGCAGACAGTCGGCGATCAAAACCAGTTCACCGCATTTTAGCACCGTGGGGGTGGGAGTAGCAGCACGACAACGAAAGGACGAAAGTGCCAATCAACAATTGCTACCCGTTTTTAACGGAGGAGGCAAACAGCGGATGCATAGCAGTCAGAGCTTACAGTCGAAAATTGGAATATCTCCTCACTCAGAGCGAAAGAGCATGAGTCGGCTGATGAAATCATAAAGTACGAACTCAATATTGTTGGACTCTCGTAAATGAAACGCCAAGGCTCTAGAATCCCGAACCTCTGCGGGTGGAAGCTATCAAGTGTCGATATCACGACGCGCACTCAATCAGGGGTTGGAGTTCTGGTAGAACCCAACCTCGCAGAGAGAAACATTGATTGGATGCCTGTCAGCGGAAGGGTGGCAATCCTCTGACCGAAACTACAAAAGGCTAAAGCATTGACCTTGGTACAGGTCTATGCGCCCAATTTGGAGGGAGAATATGATACCTTCCTTGAGGAATTGCAGTGTGCTCAGTCCGAGGTGCCGAATACAGAAACCCCCATACTGATGGGCGATTTTAATGCGTACGTCGGAGTAGACGCTGAAAAGTGGAACGGCGTGATTGGGAAAAACGGCTCTAGCGACCTCAACAAAAACGGCATTAAGTTGTTGTTGCGGTTTTGTGTAAACAACGGACTGTCCATTATCAACACCTTCTTCGAGCATCGAAGAGTGCATCAGTATACCTGGCAGAGGGAAGCTTGTCCACCAAAGTTGATGATTGACTTGATAATCGTGTCGTCTGACTAACGACGTTCAGTAATGGATGTCCGCGTTAAGAGAAGCGCAGAGCTATCATCCAATCATCACCTTGTTGTTGGCACGCTGCGCTGTAAGAAATGGAGTACCATACGAAGATGTGGTGGCAGAAGCAGCCAGAGAATCAAATGGGAAACATTATCTTCCGAAAATCATGGAAACACTGTCGTGGACACGAAAGCGAAATTTGCAAACAACATCGCACGATGATTTGAGCAGATCCCGGTGATGAAACCGAGTAGCAGCTCTTCAACCGCGGCATACTCGAGGATTTAAACGGGTTAGCCTGCCACCTGGAGGTGAGAAAAGA